ATAAGTACGGATAATACGGATAATAATAATAACTTACTGGATTGCTAGAGGCCCGAAGTGTGCCCTAAATGAGCTTTGAATTAGCTGGTACAGACTGCTTACTGAAGAGGGAGTTGGCCCATGTGAACGTCCGAAGGAAGGTTTTATTTAAAGGCTGCAATGGACTTTTTGTGATAGTGGTGATTTGAGAAACTGTTTAAAAATATAAATTGGTGGCAATTGGTGGGGGAATATAAGACACATAGTCATCATTGATACAGTGGACACAGTTTGCGACTAACTCACCCATACCAGTGATTGTGCACTGTCAGGAGTGACCTCCGTAAAAGTTGCTTTGACTGTTTAAAGTATGAATAGAAACCTTAAAGGCAAACGCCATATTCTTTAAATAAAGTGGCTTAAAGTATTTTAAATGTGTCAGATAATCATTCTATACAGCAAATCACATGCATATCCTATGCAGGCTATCGTTTATGTGTGAGGGCATACCATTTTGTAGATTCGCAGATATTTACCAGGAAATAATCTTTTACATACTACCAATTAATAAGCATGCATCCCAGATAGCGCGTTTTACTTAACTAAAACAGTGTTTTGACAGTGACCTTTAACTCTCACACCTTTCGAGTGTTGATGATTTTTCTTTTGGTCTGCAAATGTTGTTTTTGATTTTAGGATTGTTCACACGATAGGGCAAGTACAAAGTAGCGTTTGGCAGCATGTACGAAAGAAGTTTCGCATTTATTTTGTTGTGCATGCTGCCAACATGCTGGTCTCACCTGCAGAGTAATGTCGATTTTGTTTACTATTTTTTCCACAGAAGCGGCGTTTGCTTGTTATGATAGAGAAATATACCTGATGTGTCCCAGCAGTTATAGGATTATCGTCGACGAAGCATTGTTTGGATTTATTAACTCGACCCTTGATGGAAAAAATATAAACACAGCTTGTGGTTTGCCGCGCGCTGAGGCCTGTCATACTTTTGCATCGCTGTATGTAGCGAATCTCTGCACCGGTCAAACACAATGCCGATTAAAAGTCCTGTATTCCCATGACCTTCCGTCCACAATTTTGGCTCCATGTTACGCCGAAGCGCAATTACCCGCAAGCCATCCAGCTATGGAAGTCCTATACTCCTGCGTACCCCACCGTATGAATCTATTATCTCTTTTGCGTGACACATCATTTGTTTTCCATAAAGAAGAGAATTTAAACCAAATCTATGCTATGTCGTACAAGAATTTAACGAAACTGCACGTTTTTGGGTGTTCAAGTAATATTTTGGGAATTCCCATAATATGCTCTGCAGCAGTATAAATGCTCTACTGACATTTAAAATTAGAGTGAACATTTTGTATGGCTCAAGTACCGGGCATGTGACTTTCCTCTTTTAAAACATAAGCAGATATTTTGTATCGTCGTCTGGAAATCCAAAAAGTATTTTCGTTCTTACTTTATTTGTCTGTAAATCGTCTGACGTGGCTTTTCACATATTTTGTGTAACTCATATTTTAGAATTTTAGAGTCCTAATATCCAAATAAACAGCACCAATGGATGTGGTTTAATGCAAAATAGAATTGAAATTTAAGCGCTCGCGAAAGAATTAGACTTAGGGCATTTCATGCGAATTGTCGGGGCTAATCGCACTGACTTTTTTCGATCACACCTTCTGTACAATCTAAACGGTCAGCATTGGAATAGTTTTCATGACTTTAACAAAAATGGATCAATTCTGATATCTTCTTTTGCGCGTTTTCTCCTTTTTTAAGGCAATATGGGAATCTCACCTCATGTTCCAATCAGCAATCAAGTTTCCATACACAAAACAGCAGAAGCTGTAGGTATTTATATTCTCCGGCGTCTTTCTTGGTAACGGTATGAAAATTAGTTCTGAAATATTTCTAGCAGTTTGTTCCAAAGGATAATACAGGCATGCATAGACTTTTTGGCCGCCATAGCTGAACGACACAGCAATCTGGTACAGAAGTCGCCGGTTATTAAGCCCACGGTTAGTAGGCCCAGCCGCGTATTAAGCCC